TTTGATACAATCTGATAATTTTGAAAATTGTATTGTTTGAAGAAAACAACATTTTGAGTAACGGTTAAGTGCAGTTTCAAGCATATACGATAATTACACTTTGATTTAGATTAGAAACTTAAATCATTTAAAGAGAAACCTTTATTTTACGTTATCCAAGTTTCAAACTTCTGATTAGTCACTAATACATAGCCATCAGTTTTACTTTAATCTAAACTTTACTTAAAATCTAACCATCTTCTATACAAATGATACCATCATAAGACTGAAATATGGAAATATGGAAATGGAGTTTCAGTTAAGCTTAAATCTCTTTTGTCCCTCAATTGATTTATTGTTGTAAAAATATTTTTCTTAACATTGTTTAATGTTATTATAAATTATGAYAATATTATGTAGTCTAAATAACATAGTGTTTTTTTTTTTTTAAATAATATTTCGTATAATATGCTGATATTCGCATTTTGTCATATTTTTATTATTAAAATGTATTCAAATAAATGTATTTTGTATTTTTTACGAATAGTGGTGATATACGTCACTAAGTTAGTGACACTAACCTATAGAGCATAATTTTATAACAATAATTAATATTTGCATTAATCTATTAGGTAGTTATGGTAATAATTAATCTATGGTAATAACCGAGATTTAACATAGAATAACCCATGTTTAAAAAATGTTTTTTCACCAACTGTTTGCTGGCCATTTGAGAATTACGATTGTACTTCAAAGGTAAGTAATATTTAAATAAATATATCAGTTCAGTACAATATAAGCACTTGAATTGGTCTTAACTTATCCTAAGATCTGAAAAGTGATAAGAGTAAATATTATTTTGTCTCAAATTTGTAAATCGTCTTATGTAGGCCACTTCCACAATTCCCATGATGATTTCCATCGTCAGCAATTAATTTGGCGCGAAATAGCCTCACTTGGGAGTTGGGGTAGTTACCTAGTTACACTTTTGCACATAATGTCACTGAAAAGGTTTTCAGTACGAAGGTTGGTCTGTCCTAGCCAGTCTGATGGCTAATCTGTCCTAGATGAATATAAGTTTGCCAAGAGCTATATACAAAACTATGATGTAATAGTAAAATATCATTGTTCGGAAATCGACTATACCAATACGATGATAAAACAAATTATCGCCACAGCAATAAAAATCATCAACAGCGTTTATAACTGATAGACATGAGCAACACTTCCGTCCACACACGTAGTCTGGTAACAGTCGATTAAAATCGTCCAAATCGCTCGTACTAAACTTTATCACTTATTATATACGTATAAAAGATATTACATCTCCTATAACAGTTTACACAATATTATTATTTTCCACGTTAAGCACACACACATAAAAGCCATAACGTTTGGCGTATTTAATGCTTTCTACAAAACAGTTTTATATCAGTTTTGATTATAAGTCAGTTTGGCCGTCGTTTGTTTGTACGCACAATCCCTCCACCGGGACATTGTTACTAGATCAAAATAAGGTCCAGCGCTTAGTGGTATTTTTATTCAGAGATTTAGTTCGAGTCCGGTGCAGCGGCACATTTGAGAGGGTGGATTTCACCACTACACGTTCGTTCAGATGGAAAAATAGCTATAAATCTATACCACACGTAATTCTTATTTTTTTTTACACTATTTTTCTTTTCCACAAATATGTATTCGTTGACATTTGTATATTATAACGATGATGAAACGCAATTTTAGTGGTGTTACATTCTTCCGAACTCATGGCTCTATACAAATATTTGGTGATTTATTTCTTAAGCCATATAAATAGATATCATATTTTTGCGCTAAAAAGATGTATTAAATGATTAATGTGGATTCAAACAATCTAGTCATATTAAAATTAACATAAAGCTCCATTAAATCGATGATTATTTTTGTCTAAGGAGCAGATAGTCAGCGTCTAGTGTCAGAGTTTCAAACACTAGAAACCGTTTATTTACATAAAATTAAATCGATGTTTTCCATTGTGACTTAATTTTACACATTTCATTACAAAGTGAAGTTAATACAGCTACAATGAATTCAAAACATCAAAAATCATTGATTTTCAAACAATTAATATTTTTGGTAGGAAATTTGCACAGTCTCTCAAGTATAAACTACATAACAAAAAATGTTTGGTCAATATCATGTATAATTATTTTTATAATCACATCGATTGCATGAGTTWWAAATGTAGTTAACTTACCTTAAATATCATTGTGATTTTGAATTTGAAATAAAAGATCTCACTTATCTATGGAAACTCAAAAATTAATTTAATAATTATTTGTATTCTCTATCACGCCAAGTCCTGTGATGTATTATTTTTTTAATAAACCGTGGTTCTCAACTAATATTCCACGGTATACTTGAGAGTAACAACTGACAGTTGATATCATGCAAAAGTGACTATATTTCACGCGTATAACATAGCACTTTTATACTGCTGCACTATATCTCTGGATTTATAGGAATTATCTACGGCTGCTGTTAGCAAAAATAGCTGTTGAGAATCACTGGTATAACACATTGTATCCTTGTTTAGTCGGTCTATTTATATATATTATTATAATTATATGCGTAATCTTGTAGGCTCACACGCGTATGAGCAACTTTGTAAAGTTACATTTATGTACTCGTAAAGGTTGTTTTCAAGACTATATAAGCCGTGAACACTATTCTCAGTAGATTACACATTAAAACATGATAATCTAACAACGACTTACAGAGCACTCTTAACGAAAAAAAGTGTTATCTAATAATATAACAATAGTTTTATTAAGCGGGAACTGCCTAGTAGTATCACCTGTAATTTTATTCAAAATTGCCATATCCAATTGCTGAATTGCCGAAGACGTTTTCGTGACGGATATAAATTAATGTTTAACCGGGCCGCATGTGGAAGTAGTCTCGATCTGGTGAAATAGTTGGAAGTTGTCGTTACGTGTATGAGATGGTAAATCGACAAACATACAAACATAAGTATACGGACAGAAGACGAGAGAAGAAGTGATAGACAGGAATATCAGGAGAAAGAGATTTATAGAGAGATGATGGGTAACGGTGATAGAGTGAGGAGTGTGTGATCCAACGGAATGCCACGAGAGCGGTACTCGCGAAAAGACAAATCGTATACAACAGCGCACATGTCAAAGGGCTGTTGACCATTAATTTCCGTCGTCACCACTGCCGTCTGCGAAAACGATTTTCTTAACCCTTAGCCGACGGGGTTGTTTTATATCTCCGCTTGTGTGCCTTTTAGACAACGTACGAAGAGGGGCAGATAGAAGGAGAGAAGAGAGAAAAAGAGTGTGTGAACAGGAAGTGTGTACGGGAAAAGGTCAATTTTGAAAAACTAATAGCGTTCCAGCCAGTCGGTCCCGTGTTTATTCACGACGACTACCGAGACGAGATTAAAAACGATATTTACCCGGAATTTCTGCGCTCGCCATTAGACGTGGTTCAAGATGCGTAGCCGCCACCGAGTTTAACTTCGTTTTCCGGTCGATGATGTTTTTTTATGTATTTTAAATCTAATTTTTCTCCCTTGTATGCTAGATGATATCATAAATTTAATCATGAATATTACTTTGAAAAATTCACGTCCTATTTTATATATAATATTATTTAGATTGTGTGTGAGTAATTTTACGTGTGGATAGTTCTCTGTCTGACAAAGGTGTGTTTGAAAATTATATAATGGTTATAAATAAGGAGTTAGAGGTAGATATGTTAACTAATATCAACTATAACACGTTTCAAAAATTATAGATAAATAGTATACGAACAATATTTTTATAAGATTTTATTGTTATTTACTTGGCAAAAAATTAGAATTTGCTTTAACTACTGTATATTGTTATTTATGATATATTTGGTTCTATATGCATAATACTAATAATATTATATAAGCTTATCGTGGAGAAAAAACCAGTCTATAATCATGCTAATTATATTTTGTACACAGTCTGTGATATTCAAACCGAACAAAACAAAGTACCGTTCAACAATTCATAAATAGTATATATTTATATTCTTTAGAAATAATATTCTTTACCTCAGTTGAACAGTCAAGAGGTAAAACTTCAACCATCTTGAGGTGTTGGTTATTATCGCAAATGATTAATATTGACGACAAACGATTGACGTTTTTTTTTCATTATTCGTAATTCTATGACTCATTACCACATTATAGATTATTGATCGGGCGTATATCCAATATTATATCAAATAAACCATTTTATTGCGATATAATATAGTGAAAATACAGAAGGTTTTGTGGTTATACGTAGTTATTTGTTGATAACTTATATATTTATTTTTATTTTATAGAATAATTTATAATAACCAAATTTGATTTGATTTGAGATTTTTACATCAAGTAGTTTTAACTTTTAACTTTAGTATAGAAAAAAATTTTGAATTTCAAAGAAAAAAATGTTTAATGTTTCAATGAATTTAATAAAAAATCAAAATCCACACAAGGTAGTTTAAAATGAAATTTCAATGTACGTACAATACACGTAACTCAATATTTTTTTTCTTAAGATGTTGACGCGTATTGTAATATATGGGATGGTATTCTTATACTGTATTTAATAACATTATGGAAATGATAAAAGCTCAGAGTAATTTAAAAATAATCAGAGAAATGTATGTGATAAAATAAGCAATTAAAAAAAAAAACTGTATAATGTTGTGTATACACTTTTTTTTATATACTATTACAGTGTAAAATGTCATAGACAGTATTACACAACATATAACATTGCTGTTGGTGGAAAATATCAATTGTACACTGCGAAATGAAACATAAATCGAAGAAAGTATTTGACAAACGTTTTATTTTTAAAAACAAAACAACAACGATCATAAAATTATAGTTATTACATAATAATAATATTATACGAGTACTTATCATAACACAGTAGGATAAAAGGTAACATTTAAATATACACATTTTGTTTTATTCATACAAAACAGGATAACACTAAATAAAAGTTTTTTTTTTTTTAATTATTTAAAATTATTTTTTAAGAACAGTATGAATCATTATATTATGTAGAATTCGACCTAATTATATGTTTGGCTATATTATATCATCATTATAATTAGCAAAAATATCGACAAGGAACAGAATTATAAAATATTATTATTAAAATGAGCGCGGGACGCTCGAATTAAATGCGGGGGACGAAGCTACATATTATAATAATTCTTATACAATATGTTTTCTATTACAAATTATAGGCGCGGGTCAGTGATCGTCCTCGACCCATGTTTAATCTTAACACAATATAATATTTTAATATTATTATATATTTTATGATAATACACAAACTCGACTACGGTGCTCCGAAGCCTATATATAATATTAATTTACACTAGATCTAAACAGCTATTATTAATTATTATAATCGGTATCGTTATTATTAAAAAGGTACGATAAATTGGCCTAATACACGACTGGGAAAATTTTAAGAGTTATATGTTATAGTTATTATACACGTAAAGGGCAAATGTCCGGGTAGTCGTAAAGTTTGCATGGACTCACGCCGGTCTAAAAATCTGTCCCCCTCCTCTTTCTTACTCAAATCGGATTTACAACAATAATATTATTATAATAAATTATATAACGTTACTGTTTGTCTTGATTATACATATTATACGTACTTACAGATATATATTTATATATTATACGACAATTATACAATACTATATACAATACGCGAGACAATGCGTTTGCAGATTTACACGCAACTCTCGGGTATGTGTCCGCTGGACATCATCAACTTCTCCTTGATTTCCGCTCCATTGAGTTCGATCGGGTCCGGTCGGAGGCGGACGTGATGCGTCGGAAGTGATGGTGGCGGTGGCGGCGACGGTGATGACTGCTGTTGGTGGTGGTGATGGTGGTGCGTGTAGCTAAACGGTTTCGGCGTCACGTCGTTCCAGCGGCGAGCGGCGTCGCCCGGCGCCGGTTGGCGGTCGTTGATGGCCGACCCGGTTCCCCTGCGCAGCGTACCCGTTGACGACGACGAAGACCTAGACAATGGTGGCTGTGACATCTGCGCAGCTACAGCCGCGTTGGTGGCTATCCATCCGGCCACAGACGCGTCGTCCGAAAACTGTATGCCGCCGTTCCGCAGTTTGGGCGCATCCGATGGATCTGCTCAACACACACAATCAGTCGTCATTATTGTTATTGTCATTGTTAATGGATTTATCAATTGTTTTTTTATATAATGCACTATTATCTGTCCTACCCATTGTGCCCCGTCCCAAACATTTGTAAAACAATTTACCTATACCGAATGTTGTAACGTTACAGAAATATGGGCCTCTTATAGGTAATATTGTCAATATAACTAAAATTCGCCGAACCAAGTACTTATAACATAATAGGTTGCGGTTATTATTATTGTTATTAAAAGCGAACACGCGATTAGCATTATTATTAACGACAACAACAATATTATGTAATATCTCCCCCCCCCCCGAACCTCGCACACAGAAGTGTTACCATACTCTACCCGCAGCTTCCGGTGGCTGTTTCTGTCAGCGTCGTCGCTGTCAAAAACCGGTATTGCTCACAGTACATTCTGACCTCCCAAAAATATTATCATAATTGAATCATACGACGGCGACATTGACCAACCATAATACCAACCAGTCGCTGTTGCCACCGGGAGCTTCGACGTTTACACACAACTTCATTTTTTCGACGATCCCTGATCTTTACACGCGTATGCAACAGACGCGTTGTTTTCTCCTTTCCACCTTTGGCTAGAAACCTTGTGGTCAACCAGTTACTTCAACATACACTGACGTTGTTTTCCATTTTTGTGACGGTAATTTTCAAGTCAAATGATGGGCTAAGACAACACTGTGAGCCGCTAGTGGCCGAACAACCAGTCAACTAAACCTCAACATCACTCAACTCAAATCGTCGTGTTATAATGTATAATTTTCTCTTGCCAATCCCCCCCCCCAAACAATCAGATAATCGAGGCGTTGCATGACGTGGGTTCTTTCAATTTAAATATCCCTTACATAATTAGTCATTTATTATTTATTGTGGTGAGTTTTAAACATACACGTATTCAAATCAAAAAACAATATGATCAAATACTATCAATAAAATAATATATGATAAACAAAACAATTCACTTAGATATGGCGCAAGGGTCCCCAATCGCCTTGTTCTAGCGCTGACACCGAAATTACAGTTTAGGACATTTCGGCGTACGGCTTAAGGACATTTCAAGTAATTAGGTAGGTAACTATAAAATATAAATATATAAATACTTTTTGTATAATTAGGTATATTTTATAATAATACAAATTTAATTAAAATATGGTGAACGTTATAAAAATTATGAATAAAAATAATCAGGTCATCATACTTAAATCATGTGCCATTTTTCTTAAAAAACTCATAATATTACGATTATCATAATCTCTGACTAATTTTAAAATTGTTTCTTTTTTGGTGGACTTTTAACTGTTTCTATTTGGAAAAATAAGGTGTCTCGGCCCTTTCTATTCTCCTTAAATATGATACAAATGTCCATAGTGGGGTGACCAAATGCCATTTGTAGATTAAGCCGACGATTTGCCGCTTCTGTATATTATTTGTTCTATCATCATTACTAAGTACGCGATCATGAACGTTCCAAATTAAAGAGGGAAAATGTAGGCTTTGACGACGATTTCTTATCACTCTACCGATATAGTTTTCTTCAAATCATTCTAAGAAAAGAAATATTTCTTCTGGCAGTTCATCATATAAAAAGTTACAGTATTGTAAATGCCGTCAATTTTAACAAAATCTAAAGCCAAAATCATTTTAATATAAATTGAAAATTTTGCATCATTTTTATACTTCAAAAATAATTTCAGGTCACACATTTTATGTTTAAAATTTTTTGTCGAATGAAATAAACATCTGTGAATTTGAATTTCAGGGAAATAGTTTGTAATTGCTTTGATCGCAGCTTGCTCAAAATCCTTAGCAATTGATTTTGGTTTTAACCCGGGTTTTAATTCAATAATTAGTATTTTAAATAGCCATTCATACGTTTGATTTTTTTTTTACTGGGTAAAAGAGTATAAATAAGTGACGAACGTCAACGAGGTAGGTATTTACTTAATATTACGTATAATTGCGAAAATCAATGAGAGGTGCTACTTTAAAAGTGCCATCTCGACATACTAATTGGAAGACTCTGGTAAAATATTTAAATTTTGAGGGTGACAAAAAATTAAAATCTATTGACTCCAGGTCCACTATCGCGTTGTAAAAAATGTTCAATTACACCTTCAGATGGTGATAACGACTGGTAATTCACTTGTATAATTAATGAAATCAAATCTTTTGGAGGATCGGGTGAAGCTTGAATCTGTTTTTTTAAAGTTCCATCGGCCATCAAAGCTCCCTACAAAATTAATATTCAATTAAAGTTATTAAAATGTTGATATTTATCTTTCCTGCTTGTGATAACCCACTCATTGATCATATTTGATGTAGGATTGTATTAATGCTCATTTTTTCATTTTAGTGACTGCAGAATTAGTTTCAATATTAGCCGATTCCGAGTCATGGCTCAAATGTTTATTTATTTGTTTTAAGACCTAATAGTTAAAACCATAGTAAATGTATTTAATACCTAGGTACCTACTGATAGTTAAAATAATGAAATATTAAATTACCTCCAAAGTTTCAACTGTTGTATGAATTCTCGCCTTACACGAATCTTTGTAACAATATCGCCAAAACTTTTTTAATTKATTTGCACTAAATGCATCAAAAATATACATATAGGTACCCATCATACACAAATATTTCACATCCACGGAAAGTTTTAATTGCTTGTGCCATGGTGACTACTAACTACTGACTACTTGACTATCTAATATTAATCAATGACCGTCTATCGATACAGCATATAGGTTAAACTGTACCTAACTATACCTACATCTTTATTAACTTAGACCGTAATACAGATTATGTTGTGTAACGGTATAATCCCATAACACACACATACATAATAAATATATATTATTATTATATACAGTTCATATGGCATACATACATCTAACCGACGAAAGTGAAATAAAAACTGGTAAATTATACAGGTACAATATAATCAATGCTAACATTGTGTTTTCTAAACGCGATTAAAATGATTTTATGAAAAAATGACTACGCTGAAATAGACACACGCCGAAACGGCCGTACGTCGAAATGTCCAGATCCTTATTATTTGTAATACTAAAATTATTATCCTTATCTATTTTGCCTCGTGTAAAATATAAGAATCTAATTATTACTTTAAAAAATGCATTATCTTATTATTTTATTAGTTAGCGTTACTTCTCTTTCCCCTATAAAATATAAATCTTGTATCTTAAATGATTCATGCGTGTATTAAAGTCTATATGTTCTACCGACGAAACCTTGTGTTTCCACGCAGTATGGCATATAGGTCACGAACCTTAGTCCCAGGGGTTCATAGGTACATTCTGCTAGAGTAAAAACTACAGAATATTACAATGTATTATCTACTAATTATAATAATATCTAATATATTAATGTGTGACCAAAATAATGACAACCTCCAAAAAATATTATTTTTTATTGCAGAGCTGTAAAAATATTCATAAATTAACTAACTTCCTCAATGGTGTATCAAAGAGTATGAAATGTTTTTGAGGAGAGGGTTAAGTATATAATATATATAACTAAGTTTTTAATAGTTTTCGTAAACAAATATTGCGTTTATTAGGAGGCAATGAATGGTTTTGGGGGTTTACATCCAACCCTCTTAGCTATTATTATTTTAATATGATAGAATATTTCGTTTGCAGCAGAAGCTAGTATTAAGTAAGAAATCAATAATCCCTTTTCTTATCATTCAGTAATTGAATTATTATTATATTATTTTTTAATATAATATAATACATGGTTATAATTACACTGATATTGAAGCAAAACTTATATTATAAACGGTTATAGATTTTAAATGTTTGCAAAATATCTGATTCCAGCCTTCTATGTAGATATCATACTAGTGAGCGTGTCTGATATGCAAAATATGTCACGCGACGATGGTTGGAGTGACACAAAAAAAAAAAATAAATAAATAAACTATTGAGTACGATAAAAAAAAAAATACCAGTTGCATACATTTTAATATAGAATGAATAAATTAAGAATGTTTACCGTGCTTTAGACGTTGATAATTTTTACATGTATATTTGTGTATAAAGTTCTACAATGTACATTATTTAGTTGTCTCCATCACATTAGTTATGGCCCTTGTACATATTTTCAACGTCATAATCACGTCCATGAAAAAATATCAAATATTTAACGAATGGGTAGCTAGTCAGTTTTATAAATAAGTATTTACAGTAGATATAAATAAAGGGTCACGTATTCAATGACATATTTTATTTTGATATAGCACATCAATCGTAAAAGCTTTAAACCCATATTTCACCATTCTGTATATAAGTTAAAGATCAACAAAATTGGTAAATTTCAATATAATAATATCATTGCATATAATAATATTAAGACCAGTCGAAGTGTGACGATTTTAAACTGCATTTCAGTGGTTTCATTATTCAGTGTAAATATGCGTAGCATGTACATATTTTAGATTCTGAACGAAGTGATGAATGTATTGATTTTACAATGATGTGTGTTTTTTTTTTGTGTGTCTGTGTACAGCATAACTAGTCGAAATAATGCTTCAATTTCAAACTTTGGGGGTGGTTTCCAACATTTTCCAACAGTTTTCAAAAAAACGAGAAAAACAAAAAAAAAACTGACAGAAAAACGGAAATTTTTACGCAAAACYAGTTTTCGACCAAATCGATTATTTTATATGGTTKTAATTCAAAAAMTAATCACTATAAATACTTGAAATTTTCACCAAATGTTTATGTTAGTGATATCTATATATAGTTTAATTTTCAAAATTGTTTGACTTTTTTGAGTTATTTATAGACCACTGAAATTTTAAATTTTTTTTTGAAGTGCCGGTAAAAAAATGTTGGACGACCAAAAAAACTTGAAAATTTAATACAAGGTTCCTTATGAGTCTTTCTTATGGTAGCTAAAAAAAAAATTATAAGAATACATAGGCACAATTTTTTTTTATAAGCATTTATAGTTCAAATTTTTACGAAATCTGTCGAAAACGCGAAAATTTGCAAGTAATTTTAAAGTTGAAAAATCATAAAATTGTTTGTGTTTATAACTAAGGATTAGAAATACCTCAAATACAACACTAAGTTTTCCATTAGTTTTCCTTCAAGTAGCTATAAAGAAAACTCGAAGCGTCATTATAGGAAAAATGTTTTGAGTGTTTGAGTTTTAAATTTAAATTTTATCTATGTTAATATAAGGTATTATGAATTATGGTAACTGTACATGCAATGTTTTTGGAAAAATTGATTAACCATGCCTTATGCAAAATGCGTCCTAATTGAAAAATAAAATATTTTTTTCAAAATAGAATATATGACAATATTTAAATATAATATATCCTAGACTGACAATTAATCATCTCCGTTCAGAATCGTTTTTCGTATACAATGATACCTATCATTGCATTCAAATCTAACCAACCCTAGTCAGAGGTCCACCCCACCACCTAATGTACAGCAGAGCGACATCCACTTACCCACTTTTTAAAAAAAAATATAATTTTCTTAATCTCTATTTTAACAAAAGTCTCTCAACGGTCAAGCCCTATGAATATTACTTAATTATATTGTAACTTATCATACGTACTACTGTATTCAATAGGTAACACATAATATTATTATTGTGACAAACTTTGAACGATTGTCAAATACCAACTTCTTTACTTCCTACACCTTTATATTATTCATAACATAATGTGTATTATTCGACAATGACGTAGATACGTTTCCTTTGCGACAAACACAGCGTATGCATTAATGTCAAAAACAAAATGTTAATAATTTTAATATATTATATTATCAGCGACATATGTGTCATGCGTATCCATTTAATGCTGCAGGTATACGATATCATACGTATTACCATACGATTTATACACGTCATAATATTCAAAAAGCATATTACGAGTGATCCGCTCTTATACACCACTGACGTGATTTTATTAAATTAAAACGACGTGGTTTTAATTATACAGTTTATATTATAATTCGTCGAATTTCCCTATGCAAATTTATTCCAAAACACGAGCTTATGCGATATTTTAGTGTACGCGTCTCGAAATTTAACCGTTTATAAATAAAAAAAATATAAAGTGGTAGAAAAAAAATAAATGATGCACGGTATATATACGTCATGTTGTGAAACTTATTCTGCTCACATAGGTACAACATTTTATAAATCATAACATTATAATATAAACGCTGCTGTAGGACGAGTTCCGAGTAAGAACCATTATTATTAGACGTCATATGTTTTATAATATATAGGTTATATCTAATCTGTATTATTATATATTATATATCTTATAAATGTGTATCAGTGTATCTGCTCAAGGCTTATATATAGATAGTCACAAATTTCATTCGATTTTCGCGTAATATTTTACTCGGCGCAAGATGAACGACCGAATCAATTTATTTGAACTAAAGCTGCGTATAGTATATGTATAATACAAACTATACCTACTATACAATATATTATTATTATGTACATAATATTACATATTGGTTAAAAAAAAACATACTCTTATCGGACACCTTTCTTTTTTATTATTTATGTTTAGGCCACCACGCCACTATCGTTATTATGATACACACATCATACATATATATATATATATAATAATTTCGTAGACGAGATTACGTTTTCCGGAAGTTTGGCGAGAATTAAGTGTTATTTATGTATGTAGCGTAGTGATAAACTACTCTATTATTCGGGTGATTGTTTTCGATCTAACTAAAGAAAAAAACTGTCTAACCTCGAGAGTGCCAAACGACATGCGTATGCTTTAAAACTTATCTCGTTGCTATTAATACAATATTTTTACTACGATACGTACTTTAAAAAAGCACTCCGTAGATACATAATATAGGAAGCCGAACTCGTTGTCGAAACTACAAATATTTAGTAAACCGAAAAAAAATATAAAAGGCATTACTATTTCAAAAAAAGATCATCGCATTGATCGGAATCACGTCTTGTGCAAATCATACAAAATTAATGTATAACAAGTAGAATGTTGATACATTTTAATTTTAAATTAATTGCTGCCGCTAAACGTCGTTTAACTTTAGAAAATGTACCCATTTAATTTATTGTTTTTAATAAAACGGTCACAATAATTATATATATATATKTAAGTACATAATGGTACCATGTACCGCCAATACAAATGCGGATTCCTTAACCCCGTGTTTATTAATAAAGATAATCAGACATTTGCGAGTAAAATACTGTACCTATTATGAAAACTAAATATTACGATACCTAAAAAAAAAACGAAAAATTAATGCGTTCAATTACCGTATTTCACTTGAATCAGGTCAGGATCAGTGTCTGTTTCTAGGATGGACGATGCTACTTGTCCGTTACTCCTCTGGTGCACAATAACTTGTTTATCGCCTCCGGTTGGTTGCCGCGAGTTGCGTTTTCTACTATTTGCCGTCTTCAGTTTGACAACGATGATGGTTGCCAACACGAAGAGCAACAGGCAAACGCTTACTATCGTTATCAGCATCGGTGACACTTTTAACACTTCGACGCCAAATCCTGTAAAATGCAAATAAAAACTTGTAAAACGTATTAGTATAGGTGTTGTTTTATTCAACGTTCAGAMAAAATACAAATCGCAATAGACATATTATTATTATAATTATTGTTGACTTGACGATGGTGATGCAAGCAATGTGTATATAATAGTGAATTCACTATCTTACCATTTTGTGAAAGGTTAAACTTATATTTCAAAAAAAATTGTAATACTCTCGAAAACGAGAACTAATACCGATAATAATATAAATAATATAAAATGATAATAATAATAAAATAATAATAAATAATAAAATGTATCTTTCAATTATTTATTCATAATTAATATACTAACAACAACTACTAAACTATAATTGGTTCAATTCTCAGWTATGCTATTTTTCATGTACCACCTCAAACCATTGGGTTATTTTGGGTTATTTACCACAAAATAATATTGTCGACAAAATCCATAATGGTTAGTTAATGGTACATATTTCTTATTTAAATTTAAATTTATAATTTTTGTTTGATATGAGAATAATAATTGTATATTTTAAAATATATTAAAATGTTAGAATAGAGAGTGCAATAATAATGATGTTTTTATAGATATTGAATGTATAAACTACCTTTGTATGTGAAAAAAAAATGAAGAAGCAAGATTGAATGACAATTTAATAATTACATTTAAAAACAAATGTACACATTTTAAATATTTTCAAAATGTCATGAAATTAGTCAAATACCCTATTCTGTTGCCATTCAACAACGATATTTTTACCTTTAAGCGATAGAACCATTTGGCGCACAAAAGAAACTTTTGAAAGCAATAATGATAGTGTATAATAGCATAAACCCGATCATGAAACTAAATATAAATAAAAACATTATCTATAAAAAACTAAAATGTAGCGTAACGTTTTCGATATCTAAATAAAATATGTTTTAAATAGTAATAGGTAAGTATATAGTTCCTACACAAAGAAAATACTTACAATAATATCAGCTATATAAATTAATTCATGAATTCAGTTTTTTTKTTGCGATGAATGAAATTTTTTTTAAACCRTCATACCAAATTTATAGATACATTTTTTTTTATTGATTTGGTTTTAAAATTTGGCTGTTTATAACATTTAATACGTTTGACAAAAAATTATGATTCTTTTCTAATTTCTTCAATAAATGGTTTTATTTTTTAGAAGAAAATATCGAACGATGTGTAGCCTATATATTATTATTAAAAGTGTCATGGAATTTAGGTCATAATTTAGTGTTTTTGTAGCTTACATGTTATAAATATACTGACACATAATTATTAGATTGTAAATCAAAATTCAAAGAAACATAGGTATTGTCCAAATTGAATTTTAAATGAAAAATATTAAATATAAAAAAGCAAGGAAATAACATTTTTCGTAATTTTGTCGTAAAGAGTATATTTCTTGTTAACTTATAAAATATACTTTGCTCAATATAAATTGAAAAMTGTAGATAATATTATGTAGGTACTAAAATATAATCTCAACGAACGGCGTCAAAAATCCGTATATTTCCACCTATTTTTTTTTCATTGTATTCTATTATAAATGAAGTCATTGTTTTATATAGCATGTTAATAACTTTTCAACAAAGTGACATTTATAAGTGAGTGTTGTTGTGTAATTTATTTGATAACAACATTAAAAACGAACAGTAAATATTAATATCCAGCATTTAGACTGCATGTGTTTTTWWAAAAAAAAATATGATAATACGTATAATATTAATATTTAACTGCAGCCATTAACATCGAACTAGAACATTATTTTGCATGATGTATTATGACATGGGTATTGTTACATTTCACTTTTAGTTTTAAATGGCCTTCCGCGTGATCAAACAACGCCACACAAAATGCATTAAAGACGACTAAAATGTACGTAAAATAATATTTAATATCGAACGAGCAACACGCACTACCATTATACAGTATACACCCAAACCATAGTATAATATTTGTCATTCCTTTTAGTGCACCACGATTTGCTGAGTACGTTTGCAGTGTGCACATATTTCCTGCATAATAATATATCTGAAGATTTTCGATGAGAAGTTTTGCGTCGCTGTATAATGTTTCAACCAATCATACCTTACCTATACCTAATTAAAGTTTACTTTGTGATGATCTCRTACACTTGACAAGTTAAACGTGCCCCTCTTCCCCCCAACCCCATCACCATTATATTTGTGACATTAGTTTGATCTAAATGTTTCAATAAATTAAAGATATGAGCCAAACGGACTTGACGGGATGTTGTGACCGGAAGGGGGATKYATATCGCGAGTGCGTGAAACACTACTGAGGTACAGGTAAGTCGAATATTATAACGACGACGATCTACCGGTAAACTCGACAAGATTGAATTTAATTATGAATAATAAGCTTGCCAAAAGTTCCTTCGTGCGCACCTCCGCTGAAAGAGAATTGTGTGCCGTTTTTCGTTTAATATGCACCGCGCGCGCTCGTTATAAATATTTTATTAAACGTTCTTCGCAAGTCGCCGCAGGACACACACACACACACACACACAACAATATTCGTGGAATTTTACATACACCTTGGGCCTGTCGAAATCTGCAAAAAAATAAAGAGCCAGTGAGGAAAACATTATTGCGACTTTATTAAGAATAAAAAAAAGGATACAGCAATGGTTGTTAATAATTAAACAGCAGAGTGCCGCACGGTCCATGGACAGTTTAATATAGGGTACATCATATTATATACTTTTTGCATACTATATAATAGAATTTGTATACGGTGGCTTAAAATATTCACGCGAATCCTTAGAAAGCCCGTAGATAGGTAATACGATTTTTTTTTTAAGGGAAAAAAGCACTGGTGCGTGCATAACAATAGTCTTTCCTAGTGTAGTACAATGCGGTAAAATTGAATTTTCAACTACTATAGAATGGAATTTAAACGTCGTCGTCGTCAAAAATTCGAATAACGTAAAGGTAGCTTATATAATATATTATAACTGGTTTGAACCATGCGTCGTAACGAGTCTATATATATATATATACATAGGATTTGAAAACTAAAAGACATATGTATACATTTTAATTTTACTTTATGTATGACTCGCCTCACATAAGTCTCAAAAAAAAGTCTCATCACAAATAAAATAAGCATATCAAATAATATTAATAATGACAATAATATTATAAAATTCAATATTCGCTACATGAATGATTCAGATTAAAAATGGTGGAAAGCTATTTGGACCGACATCGTATTTTTTTTAAATTTTAATGAACACATTGGTTTTCAAAAGTCCTGGCGTTGAAAGATTACTGTACTTTATATATATATATATATATATATATTTATGTATTATATAAGCCCCTATCGTAGACTTCTTTTCAGTTATTCATTTTGTTTCCCCTCTTTCTGAGATCACTTACCCACATAATAATAATAATAATAATATAGCGTCTTTTCCACGTTATACCACCACAGCCGACTACCTATCCTCTATACATAGTACACACGCCACACCTCCCATTGAAAAGACCAATGAGGTAAATATGGAGTCGACGAAAATATCATACTACTACTCTGACTTGTAATATGATTCCTTTGTGCCTGTACAGCATCTTGAAAGTTTCAATTAATCCTTTTCTCGGAGACGCATCCACGCACACACACACCCTGATAGGGCTGCGGTTACCACAACACCTTTCAGAGTCATTTCGTTAGACACTCTCTCTCTCTCTCTATATATATATATATATATATATATATATATAGTGTGTATATACAGGTACGATCAAATGTTATTCAAGTTAAGCCAACGGATTTTTTTTTTTCCATTACGTTGACCTCTGCAGCGGACCTGAATTATTTAACGAGTACGCACACCCGTCAATGCAGTGTGCAATAAAGCAGTTTACAACACGGAGCCATCAATGGCTTTTTGGAAATAATATTTTTTGGTTTTTTTTTCATATTAAATTCTTCCAAAAACATTATACATTAGACGATTATTATTTATATAACGAAGGTTTCTTCAYGGCCGTTTTATCTTAGTCAAGAAAATTAATGCGTTTACGAGAAACTGTTTGGACGAAATTCGTCCTACATTCGTTAATCATTTTATACATAACTTAAACACATCGCTCTCATTGTTCTTGCAGGTAAACGGATTGCACGTTCATATTGACTTTAATTATTTTAATATACTTGCGAATATTCCGAGACAGGTGTAGTGATTATTATATATTTAGTAAATGTTACCACGTAATTTCAATAAATCGACAAAGATCATCTTGTATAATGATTTGTCATTTACTATGACATGTGTAAAAAAAAAAATTTAGCTATTTATAAAAACGATTTTAACATGATATGACGAAGTAAATAACTAGGTTAACAAATTAGCGATATACATTAATAGATTTAGGATAGTGTTACAAGTAATGAAATATATACATAGTATTAAATAAATGTATACTTATAAAAAATATCCACAATATATTATAAACCTACATTCGACGTGCTAGAATGAAATATAGTCATTGCATTTTAAACATTAGGAATTCGGTTGTTTATTTTTACTGTTGATACTATTTAAACGAATAAAAATCGTAAGGAAAAAACCTTTTACCTTACCTTACCTAGTGGCACCAAAAATATAATGTGTTAAGGCATTTTCGCGCTTGCGTTATGTCAGTGTGACGACAACAACGTATGTTATGCCATAAAAATTAGATTAATTGTGTTGTTAAATGTGAAAATTAAACAACAAAAGCCACAACACTGGCTGAGGGTTTCGGTCAGGCGAGGTAGTTTTTTTCCAACAATTCGGTATCGATTTTGGTCTAAAATTGACTTCCCAAGGCGGTGGAGGTGGACATTTACAGAAAATACTAGGTACGTATGGTTCTTGAACTCGTAGACTACAATACTACGTCAGCCAAACACGTGAAATAACTTAATATCAAAAGTATATTATGGTCTATCAATTTATCACACAATATTTTTACTACAAATAAGATTTACAAAATATAATATAACTAAAATCGTATGTAAATCGTTAAAACTTATAAYTTTACTTAAGGTCGTTGAATAAACATAATAATATAAAAGTTATTTTATAATATAGAACATGTATACATAATATTTTCTTCGAAATTATTCACCGACGATTTAAAGCAATTTCCTTTATATATTACTCATGCCTATACCATGAATATTTATTGTCTGTATATACCTACATATTATTTTGTACATTGACATTTTCTCTTTTTTTTTAAAGTTATTTTACAAAAGTATTTTAGAGTTTAATGTATCAAAGTGTTTGAAAATGTCTTTTTCACGTAATAGTTGATGAAAATCAATTGTTTTTCATTAAATTACTGTTGGCATACTATTTTCAAGAATAGATCTGGCTGCGGATTTAAGTGTCACTTTGTCTAGTCAACTGTCATTCAAATATTAACACAGCTTTAGGAAAGCAGTGATAGCATTAAGAGATAGAAAAATGCACTTTCGAGAATTTTCGATATCGAGTGTTCCAATCTAAAAAACATTCAATTTCCATTTTACCTGCAGTACAATAACCGTAAATCTATAAGAAAGATCAATAAATTATAATCAAACTATCTAAAGTGATATATTTTCACATTAAAATAAATATTAATTTATATGTTTGTTTATTGTACAATATTTTGTATTACACATTGAAAACATTTACAATCTATCAGCAGTTCCTAGTATAGCAGGTCCTTTTTTTGCAGACAAATAGCAATAATTATAAACAAAAAAATAATTCAATCAAAATAAATKATAATATTATTTTATCATCTAATTTATTATTGTGTATAGATAATATAATTTCTTTAAACGGCGCATTGTGCTTTATATCTAATTCAATATTATAAAATATCCTCTAATATTTTATATTGTGCCATACGACGTGTTTACTTATATGTGTACGGGATATAAAGAAGAAAAAGTTATTTTTTAGTACGCTACTCGTGTTGGGTAACTCACCCCAAACTTACAACTGTTTATYTGTGAAAATTTAAACTTCAAAATTATTAATTTAATAACATGTTATATTTCATAAATTATAAAATATAAAAATATTATATGATTAAAAGATGGGAATCATTTCTTTTAATAATATTTAGATACGTTATATTAGTGATGAATTGAAGTGTTAATTTTTAATTTTAGTATCATAGTGCTTAAGTTCTATTGGAGATATGATGATTAATGATTGATCCTATTTTTTACGTTTTTCTATCTAGTATTTTTAAAATTAATATCGATAAAAATTTAATTATCTATAACACACCAAAGTTTTTAATATGGGTAGAAAATATGTATTGGGTATTAAAATAAATTTTATACAGTTTTTATTATTATACACTCGACTGCAGGACTAACTCTCGTAAGTCAATTATAAATTTGAATAAAACATCATTGATCATAATATTATTCAAATATRTTTTTGAAAATGTACACTATCTTTACTGTATGGTAAATCTGTAATACGTTGTATCATATAAGATGATCATATTTTAAGTGTTTGAGAAATTTTACAAATGATGAATAAAAATCCCCTCTATATGTGACAAACTATAAAACAATAATAATATAAGTCAAACTTAGAATTTAARGAAGGAATTCATAATAATTTTAGAAGCCTAAGCTACATAAGCTCCACTCCCTACCAAGCTTATTGTTTGTCCAACACTGGTTAGATTAGGTATTAGTCAATACCTACGTCCCATGAGGATTTTATTTGAGGTCACTGAACACGTATGTTTAGGAATAACATATATTTTTAATTTTTGACAATAACTAGCAAGATTAGCGCCTGTTTAAACATGTTTAAGTATTAGTGCACTAAGATTCTTTAATACGCTGTCAATATTATGTATATTAAAAATAGAAAAATTACTTTTTTGACAACTCGTTGAGAATTACAACGTATCTACAACCAAATACAAAAAGATTCCAGGAMTCAATATTATGACAAGCAGGATGGTGGTACTCACCCATTTGGTTTTCGGAGCTGGGAAATGAAAATCTGGGCAGAGTGACGGCAGTGGACTTGCCCTTGGAGTTCGCTGCGTACATGCGTGCAGTGTACAGCACGCCCAGCGCGACCTTGCCCAGCGAAAAGCGTGGTGACGTCCGGTCCGTTAAGTTCCGGTACAGCACCTCACCATCTGCCTGGCTGTCCAGGTTCTCGRCGTACACTTCSAGCACGAATAGCTGCTGCAGGCCACCATCGTAGCCCGGTTCGCACTGCACGTCCACCGCACCGTCGGTATTGTTCCGGACAGTGCAGTTGTGTACCGATTGTGGTTTACCTGCAAAGATGTATAAATTGCACAATATTAATATAGGTCAATTTTTACTTAATATTTACACATAATTAATACTAGATATGCCAATGCTTATTAAAACMACACATGTTTATGCAGTCTCATAATATCTGAAACTGTTCACTTCGTCCAAATAAAAACAAATGTTGTGGGGTGAACATCAGTTTACATTTTACTTAGATATAAATATATAAAGATATAACCATATCTTTAATCGTGATTAATGAAC